AGAGAGAGACAGAGAGAGAGAGAGAGAGAGAGAGAGAGAGAGAGGGAGGGACAGAGAGGCTCTCTGGTGTCTCTTTTCACGAGGGCAATTATCCCTTCATGGAGACTCGATCTTCGTGAGTTTATCTGAACCCAATAACCTCTTAATACCATCACATTAGGCTGGGGCTTCAACATATGAGTTTTAGGAGACACAAATCAGTCCACAGCACCAGGTCATAAACCCTGTGCTACGGGAGTAAGGGTGATAGAGGGGAAAAGGTCCTGGATCCCAGTCAACCAGAACTGGGCCCTAAGACAGGGGGCCACTTGGGGTCTCTGAACTTCATTTGTCTCACTTCTCTCTCCTTATGCTACCGGTTAGTGAAGCCATATCATATGGCAAGTGTCCTTCTGTCCAATACCATTGCTAAGCTGTTTGAAAAGCAAAGCAAGTACTGTTATTTGCACTTGCAGCTAAGGAAACTGAGTCATAAGGAGGTTGAATAGTCGGTCTAAGGTCACATAGCTAAAGAATGAACTGCACTTGGCATTCATGCCCAGCCAGCTCGGGGCTTTTGCTGTACATGGATGTGTTGATATCATAACTGCACTGTGAGAACTGCACAGGACCCAGCGGAGAGAGGCCTTTTGGAAACTATTCAGGATGGTCCTTCTCCACATATAGGCACACACACACACAAACACACACACACACACACACACACACACATGCACAGTGTTATTATTTTGTGGGAAGAGAGACATCCATTTTTGTAGTGGGACAACAAAATTCCCATGGGTCTCAGTTCTGAAGTTTTCTCTCACGGGATTTAGAACAAGCCTTGTTAGAGGAAACCAAGTCATCAGGCTCAGAAATATCTGGGACATTCCTCTTTAGACCGCTTCCCTTTTAGACATCTTCTCTTTTCAATACCCTGCTCTATTTGTGCTTGTTTACATGGGTCCTTCCCAGGCCACACCTGCTGGCTTCTTGAAAAGCTGTCTCCAAGCAGTCGTGGTTTGGGGTAGTGCAGGAGAAATAAGGAAACGGCTAGCAGATGGATGAGGGCCCAATAGCACCTTTGTTCTGCTGCCTGCCTGGCAAGGCCAGGGCTGACTAGGCGCTGCTCTTGTGGGTGTCCCTGATGGCAGGACTTGTGGCGCTTCCTGAGCACCAGCCCAGAGTCTGCACGGGAGAGTCCCCCTCTTGGCCCTGGAATTAGGCAATTAATCAGTCAGTACCCTGGGTCCACTGGTGCTTTTGGGCCATCTCTGGGACGGGGACAGAACCAGCATTAGATGTGGCCTGGGGACTGGAAAATAGGCAGAGGACCCCTGTGGGATGCCAGCCCTAGGCCTTTCAGCTGTGATTCCAGGGTCCCTACTAACACCCCAAACAGACCCAGCCAGTAAAGGAGCAGGTGGTGCTGGGATTACAGGAATGACCCACTGACCTGCCCAGCTTGGTAGGATTTTTTTCTGGGTTCCATTATAAATTTTGGACAGGTTATTTTTTTCCTGATAGATTGTAGCCCAGCCAGTTAGGGACCCAGGGATATCTGGGGACCTGGAAAACCAGTTTACTGGGAACAAAAGTTCAGAAGTGAAGGTGTTCCCTGCCTTCCAAATTTAAGACTCCTCTACGCTATGTAAGCAGAAATGTTTTCCTTCCTCTCACATTATCTTAATTGCTGGGGGATAAATATTGGGATGGAACTGGTGATTCTAGACTGGAATCTAAATGGATCATCACCTGTGGACAGTTGTGGGGAAACCAAACAAACACCCATCTATTTCTTCAAATCTTGGAAGATGGCCCAGCTGAGAACAAATGGAAGCTAGGCATAGCCGTGCACACCTGTAATTCCAGCACTCAGGAGGCTGAACCAGAGGACTGCAGCAAGTTCAAGGCCAGCTTGAGTTACACAGCGAGTTCAAGACCAGCCTGAACTACATAAGGAGACCCTGTCTAAAAAAAGGGACATGATGGAAAATGTTATCATTTGTGCTTCTGAATTGATTTATTCTGAACTTTTTTATGGACTGGCAAACTCATATTAATTTTTTTTTGATACTGGGGATTGAACTTGGGACCTTGTGCTTGCAAGGCAGGCGACAGAAACACTGAGCTAAATTTTGTTATAAGGGCCCTAGCTGTTTCTTTTCTTCCTTCTGTAGAAGCAGATGTGGTCTATTACTGGACTATATGCTCAGCTTTTTTATTTTTTATTTTGAGACAGGGTCTTGCTAGGCTGGGCTCGAACTACTGGTGTGTGCTACCCAGCCTGGCTTGTTTCTTTTTTTGGTCCCGGGGATTGAACTCAGGACCTTGCATTTGCGAGGCAGGAGGTGGAACCACTGAGCTAAATCCGCAGCCTGGCTTGTTTCTTAACAAGTGCAACAAAAACAGTTTTCTTTTTTATTATATCAAATCCCCCAGAGCCTTGAGGTTCTCCTTGTCTATTTTTTTCCCTTTCATATTCCCCATTCAACCCATTAACAAACTATTGGTTGCATCTTCAAAACTGTTCAGATTCGGGTGGCTTTTTCCTGCTTTCTTCATCTGTGCTGTTACGGAAATAAAGTCATCGTGCCAGGGAATAAGCCAAAGCCTCTGGCCAGGACCAGTCACCCCTGGATGAGGTGGTTGGTGAGTGGGTGGGGGCCCACCTCGGCCCGCCCAGTGCCTCAGACTCCCTGGGGACTGGCACTCAAGACAGGGGTGGGGCCCCAGCCGCAGCTGTCACCTCCCGGGGGAAGCCGCACCTGGTGTCCTTGCCCGCACCTGCACCAGACCCCAGCCTAGCAGCTCCTTTGTTGACCCCGAGGGATAAGCTTTCCCCTCAGCTTAGCCTTTCTCCCCTTCCCCCGTGAGATGGGAGTCAGGCTCAGGAAAAGGAGGTGGCCACCATCTCACCTCGGGGCTTCCCGGCCAAAGCCAGGTAAAAGAAGTTCCCCCTGGGGTCCGGAGCCAGGTAACAAGGCCATTTGTCAAGAACTGTCAAGGCGGGGGAGGGCGAAGGGAAGTGAAAAGGAGGAAGATGTGTTATGTACAACGACCGACTCCCTGGGTGAATGGAGTCAGGCGCTGCACACGTGCACAGCGCAAGTTTAACAGAAGAGCCTCGGCCGGTGGTGGTGGTGGTGGTGGGGCCAGGGATTTAGCTCAGTGGTTTCGCCACCTGCTGCGCAAGCGCAAGGACCCGAGTTGGATCCCTGGTACAAAAAAAGAAAAAAAAGAAGAGCCTCGGGTCTCGCCCCGTCCTCCAGGGGCTCCCGGGCACCAAGAGGAAGCCGGAGGCCTCGCGTGCATGACAGGGCCGCTTGATCGCACTGCCCTTGCCCACTGCTCCCCCACCTACTCCTCCTCCCCTTTCCTGCCCAGCACCCAGGTTCCCTCTGCCTGGGATCCAGAGTCCCCTGGAGAGGGCGCCCGGCACAGAGCTATCCAGTATCTATTTTAAATACGAGTATTTGTTAAATGAATAAATATCCTAATCTTGAACCACGGAGTGAAAAACAAGCAGGTGTATGGGTAATCACAGAACTCTAAATATTCAGATGTCTAAACACCTTCTCCTGAAATGTCCTTCCTGACCTGTTTCTGTCATCCTCCAGCTTCCTTAGAAGTCTATTCTTATGACTAATTTTGGGGGTATTCAGTATCAGCCACTTTAAAAGGCCTTTTTTTCTTTTAAAATCAGCTTCACTGCTGGGTGTGGCGGTGCACATCTGTAATCTCAGCTACTGGAGAGGCGGAGGCAGGAGGATGGCAAGTCTGAGGCCAGCCTGGACTACATAGCGAGACCCTGTCTCAAGATAAAGAAAAAGGGTTGAGGAAGTAGTTTCTCACTCCCTAGGTTCAATCTCCATTACTGCAAAAATTGAACCAAAATAAACAATATTGATGTACAATTTACACACAACAAAATCCACCCATTTTAAGGATATGGTTTGTTGGATTTTGACAAATACAGATGTGTGACATGCACCCCAGTGAAGGTATTGAACATGCCAATCACCCCCAGAAATTCCTTGTGTCCCTCTGTAGGAAATCCTCAGCCCCCCGGGGTCCTGGCTCCAGACAATCACTGCTTTGTTTCTTTTTTTTTTTTTTGGTACCGGAGATCGAACTCGGATCCTTCTGCTTTCGAGGCAGGGGCCGGAACCACTGAGCTACATCCTTGGCCCTGTTTCTTTTTGTTCATTAATTTTATTGGTACATTTTAGGTATACAATATGCTGACATTCATTACTTAGAATTTGTACCTTTATATAATATATCTTGATTCTCATTTTTTCTCCATTCCTCTGCCCTCCCTTCAACCCCTCCATCCCTTCTTATTTACAAAGACTTTGTTTCCATATTTTCCTTTGCTCGTATTTTTTCTTTTCCCTTCTTTCCTTTCCCCTACCCCTCCCACTTCCCCTACTACTTTAGACTTTTCCTTCCTATTTCACATTATCAATTATACATTTTGATCCTTATTTACACTTTCAGTTTCTCACACTAGAGAAACTATTTGGTATTTACACATGTGTGTCCTCTTTATTTCACTTAAGAGTATTGCCTCAATGTGCATCCATTTAGCTATAAATGTCTCTAGTTTCTCATTCTTTATGGCTGAGTAGTACTCCATTTTATAGAAAAACCACATCGTCTTTATCCAGTCTCCAGTTGATGGCCACTTGGGCTGTTTCCAAGCTTTAGCTATTACAAACTGTGCCGCTATAACCACTGCTTTGTTTCCTGCCACCGCAGGTTAACCTTGCCTGTTCTGGGGTTTTATATAACTGGATACATACAGCACACACCCTGTTATTCTCTTATTCAGCCCAATGGTTTGAGAGCCAGCCACGTTTCTCTGTGTATTAGTACTTCATTATTTTTTATTGTTCAGTTGGAATAATAGACCCCTCCCACCCTGCTTTTTGCAGTACTGTGGATTGAACTTGGGGTCTTTGCACTGAGCTACATATCCAACTCTTATTTTTTAATTTTTGTTTTGAGACAGGTCTTGCTAAATTGCTAAGTTCTCCAGGCTGGGTTTACATGTGCAGTCCTTCTGCCTCAGCCTCCCAGAGTTTTGGGATTACAAGCATGTACCACCATGCTCACCTTAAAGGCTTTTCTTTCTTTCTTTTTTTTTGTACTGGGGATCAAACTCGGGTCCTTGCACTTGTGAGTCAGGCAGCGGAACCACTGAGCTAAATCACCCGCCTAAAGCCTTTTTAAAAAATATCACATACCCCTGGAAGGGCAAAAGGAAATTCTTTTAATCCTTTAACATGTTAGTACGAATGAGTTTTTTGGGGTGGATGAGCCACACAGAAAGTACAGGGCTATCTGGGCCTGACAAAGGAATGCTGCTGAAAGGTAATTATACCAGCTCCATCGCTTGTCTTTGGTGTACAGACTCCAAAAGCTTTCTTCCTGCTTTCAGTGGCAGAAATCCAGGAGCAAACGAGTGAATATTCCTGAAGATCTCCCACGTGCTGGATGGAATTGTATTTGATGTTCACCACAACCTCGTGAATTGAGTAGGACAAATGCCCCTATTTCTGATGAGGAACTAGACCACTGGTTAAGCTATAAAGGAGAATTCAAGCCAGTTCTTCCTAACTCCAACTTATTTCCACTTTATGGCCTTGAGGTCAGGCACCAAAGGCTTTGAACAGCACAGACTGGGAGGACAGACTGACTGGCCTGTGGGCCAGACCAAGAGTGCACCTGAGATGAGAGCGGCCCTGGGCTGCTGTAGTTTTCCTGACGCCTCCTCCCTGGGGACGGGGAGGGACAGAGAAGTCGGGGCAGAGACGGGTGTCTCCCTTTGTCTGAGGAGTGGGAAGGGGACAGTCCTGCAGCTACACTGTGTTTCACATCACTGAACCTGTCTAGGCTCTTTTTGGGGTTCCCAAACCCGGACTTGGGGTAACTTAGCGGCACCTCTTTGGTTTTATCCCAGAGGCTTCAGTCTATAACTTTCCTTGGAATGAAGATCCTGGGAATGAGCACAATCTTTCAAAGCCAGTCCCAGAACAGGCGAGGGTCAGAGCTGAAACCAGAGCATTTTTAAAATAGCCTGATAAGAGACGCTGGGGAGAGGAGAGTTGGTGGGCAGCCAGCTGCTGTGCTGACCGCAGTGCCGGCTCCCTGCAGACTGCATTCCGGAGCTTTGAGCGTCATGTCTCTTCACCCCCTCTCCTCTGCCTTCTGCCTGGGGGCCCAGAACCAGGGCCACTTGGAGATGAAGCCCTGGAGACTCCTGCTGGGCGAGGTGGGCCCTTCTGAGGGCTTTCGGTAACCGGCATAGGCTGGCCTGGGTGCAAACGGGGTCCACTTTGTGGAGGTGCAGATATTGGCTCGGTCAGATTGCCACCGAAACCAAGGACGGTATGACAACTTGGATGGCTAGAAACCACAGGGACGCCCTCCCTCAGGAGCTGGGGGGCTGCCAGGCTGCGGGCAAGGTGTGCGTGGCTGCTCCTTCCGCCCTGCTGCAGAGAAACCACCTGTCACACTCCCTGGTGCATCTTGCATTGTGGCAGCAGAACTCCAGCTTCTGTCTCCGCACGGCCTTCTCCTCTGTCTGCCTGTCTCCTCTGTCTTTTGTTTTGCTTTGTTGGAGAGAGGGTCTCAATACAGATGCAGCTCAGACTTCCCTCAAACTTGCAGTCCTCCCGCCTCAGCCTCTAGAGTGCTGGGATTACCGCCGCTGTGTCCAGTTCTGTGTCTTCTTCTTCTTCTTGAAAAAAAAAAACCCTCAGCTATTTTTCAGCATTAGTTAAGTAGTGAATTTACTGATTTAGATGAGGTATCACCTCATTGTCCAGGCGGCCTCAAACTGTGAGGCCCGAGCGATCCTCCTTGGCCTCCTGAGGAGCAGGGACTACGGCTGTGGGGTCCTGCACCCTGCTCAAGACACCAGCGACTGGATTTGGGGTCCTTAGACTGGCTCGCCATCCTGCACACCACGTCACGAGGTCCCCTGGCCTTCAGGCTCTAAGGTGAACCTGGGGCCCATCTCATGCTGGCTGCATCCCTCACATCCTCCTGTGTTTGGTGCTCACACTTTATCAAGCCCCGGCTGTCACCTGCCTCTGGGACTCTGCACGCTGCTCCCTCTGCCTGGAATGCCCTTCCTGGTCTCTGCCACATTTCCCTTCTCCATCTGAAAAACTCTTGCTCATCCTTTAGGCCTCTCCCTTCTTTCCTGAGCACCACGGGAGGTCTTGATTGTGGCCCTTTGCGCATGGCCATGGTCCTTGTGGTCCTTGTGTACCCCTTTGGTGTCATATCTGACACATCACGCTGGCTTTTGCTTGACGACCGTCCATCTCCCCACCAGAGCTCCTTAAGGCAACTTCTTTTGATTCCCCAGCACACTTCCACAGCTGCTGAGTGACCAAGAAAACAGAAAAATTCCCTGCAGAACGTGGAAAGCGAGTGGGCTCTTTCTCACGCTTCTATGATATTCCCTACAATGTTGGGTTCGAGCTTGGCTCTCAAATGCTTCCTGCATTGTTTAGTGATTGACTATCAAGAGCCCCTGTTAGCGGGAATGTGACAAGAGTTGTGGCTCACGACAATAGCAGTTCCCAAAGAGTAGGGACCTGAAGAAATGTTGCGCTGGGGATTTAGCTCAGTGGTTCCGACGCCCGCCTCGCAAGCCCAAGGACCCGAGTTCGATCCCCGGTACCAAAAAAAAAAAGAAATGTAATTCCCCTGTGCTTTTCTCCTGTCAACTCAAGAACTTTTAAAATGACAATTAACTGAGGTCAGGGAGGAGGATAGGGGCATCTTCCACCTTGCCAGTGAAGAAATAAAGAGAGAAGCTGGGTGTGGTGGTGAACACATGTAATCCCAGCTACTCAGGAGGTTGAGGCAGGAGGATTGCAAGTTTAAAACCGGCCTGGGGAACTTAGTGAATGGAATGGGATGGAACAGAATACAATGAAATAAGAAGGGCTGGAGAGGTAGCTTAGTGGTAGAGTGCTTGCCTAGCATATGCAAGAGCCTGGTTTAATCCCCAGGAATGGGAAGAAAAAAAAAGAAGGTGGGGGGTTAGGAAGTGAAGGGAGAAAAAGGAGGACCCAGGCCTGAGGTTCTGCAGCCCTGGATCATGAGGAATCATTGGTGAATGAGTCAGGTTGGCCCCAGTGTGGTGGTGTTGGGAGATGGCGGTGAGACAGGAATTAGGATTCTACGTGGGAGTAAGGACAGCGGTCCCAGATGCAGTCGGCTGAGTCATAGCCTCCAGGGGCCTTACAGAAACAACGGCCAGGTGTCCTTTCAGGGGCTCTGCAGAGCATGGTCAGGGAGGCCACTGTTTCCAGGGCGCATGGACCCCAAATGGGCACTGCGCGAACACTTCATAGATTGGACCTTGAGGAGTGTGCAGTCTCCTATAGGGTAGAGATTATATTCTTACACAGCAGCCCAAGGTGGACATCCAAAGTGAAGGGCAAAGTGCGGAATAATGACCAAAGCTGGCTGCTTTGGAGCGAGCATCCCATACCTGCCCTCTCTCTCACGCACCCCGGACCAGGCAGCCAGATACCATCTAGGCAGCAATGATCAACAGGGAAAATAAAACACGCTCACCATGCTTTCACTTGCTTTCCTGAACTTCTTATCCTTAGGAGGAAACATGGGGCTGATGAACTCACCAAAGTCATGTTGCCTCTGCTTTTGCTTCCTTCTCAGACTTGTCATCTTTCGTATGATGTCAGGAATCTCGCCCCATACATGGTGACTCAGAGCCTAAAAAAGCTGAGCTGGAAGAGACCTCAGGGACAACTAGCTCTGTGCTGTCCAGGGTGGCAGGCACTCCACACAGTGCTTCTGAGCACTTGACATGTGGCTGGTCCAAACTGACCTGCTCTATAAGAATAAAATAATCACTGGGATGTTGGGAACATGGTTTCACAAAATAATGCAAAACAGTTCCATGCTATTTAAAACACTGATTAGATACTGAAATGATCATGCTATGGCTTGTGTCTAGATGTCCCCCTAAAGCCTCAGGCAGTCATAGGTGGGGCTTTTCAGAGGTGACTGCATCTAGAGTGTGTGATGCTGGGGTTGATTCCTGGTGCAATGCTAGGCTCAAGGCCACTAGGATTAAGGGTCTGAGTGTTGTCCACCCTAAATGGCCTGGATAAGATATAAGGGATAGAAAGAGCTGTGGTCTTCCCTTGCTTGCTTTGCTACCTTCTGCCTGCCATGAACTGTTTCTCCTCTGTGATGCCTGTTCGCCATGCCAGCCTGCCTTGGAGCCAGCCAGTAATGGACTGAAACCTTTACAAACTGTGAGCTAAATAAACCTTTCCTTCCTTAACTTGTGGGTATTGGATATTTTGTTTCAGCAAGGAGAAAAGTAACACAGGCATCTTTTTGGTTAAATGAAATATACATGATTATAACAAGCTAGGCGTGGTGGCACGAGCCTATAATCCCAGCTCTCTAGGGAGCTGAGGCAGGAGGATCATAAATTCAAGCCCAGCCTGGGTAACTTGGTGACATAACGAGACTCTGTCTCAAAATTTAAAATAAAATAAAAAATAAAGGGCTGGGGATATAGCTCAGTGGGAATGTATTGATTTAATTCTCAGTACTGCCAAAAAGTACCTCCTGCCCCTTGCCCCATTGAACCCAGGGCTTTTGAAAAGTCACTAAATCGCCCAGGCTGGGTTCCAACTTTCTAACTTCTTGCCTCAGCCTCCCAGAGTATTGACATTAGAGGCCTGCACCATCACACCTGGTTTGTTCTTATTTCTTTCAATGTGGCTGCTAGAAAAGGTAACATTGCGTACGTGGCTTGCATTTGTGGCTTGATTATAGTTCTTGTGTACAGTGGTGGTCTAGTTCAACCTCTTCCTTTCACAGATGAGCATGCTGAGGTCCAGAGCACACCCTAACTTGGCACACTACAAACTCTGTTGTTTTCTGTGCCACTCGTCTCCGGGTAACGTCCTCCCTGGCACACCCTTGGAATCCTTGGAGTGGAGCAGGTGGGCTTGGAGCTCCCTGGCCTGCAGGCCTCAAGGGAAGTGTTCAAGACTCAAGGTATTGGCTGTGGTTTCTACGGAGTGAAATAAAAACCTAACATAGGGGGAGGCACGGTCTCCGAAGTCACAGGGCTTTGTTTCAGTGTGGAGATTGAACCCAGGGCCTTGCGCATGCGTGAGGCATCACGTTTCAAAAGTGCTCTAGACTGGGGGAGAAATCTGGGTAGCGCTAGGCCTTTCCCCATTAACTCACCTGCAGAGGAGCACCTTAAAGCCTTCCCACGAGGCATTGGGGTGGAACCTAGCCGGGCCCTGACCCCCAGGAGCAGCCACTGCAGGATTGTTTGACAAGTCAACAAAAGCAAGTTTTAGAGAATCGGCTTGATAACCAAAGAGGAGCGGGCAGCGAGCAGGGGGAGGGGGAACCAGACACCGAAGACAAATTTCTGAATTTCATAATTGTGTCTGGCGTCCCGTTCCCATCAGCCTGCATTGCCAAGCCTTAGGGGAAGCAGGAGCCCAGAGATGAGACTGGTTATCTGACCGCAGCTGCAACAAGCAACAAGTGGCCTTGCCCAGATAACTGCAGCAGGCCTGGAACTTTTTTCTTGGCTTTTACCTGGCTTTGGCTGGGGCCCCCGGAGAAGGTGTTTCCCCCTTTTTCTCTGAGGCCTGGCTTCCCACCTCGGAGAGAAAGGCTGAGGAAGGGAAGGGGGAGAAGGCCCGGCTTGTCCCTGGAGTTCAGCGCACACTGCTAGGTCTGGCTGGCTGGATTTTCTCTCGGGTTGTGGGGGACGCGAGTGCCAGGGGAGCCCGGTGCCCAGCCCGACTGCTTCTGACGTCAGGAGCCTCTGGTACACTCCCTGGCACGGTGACTCTGTTTTCACAACAGCCCGAAGGGCCTGGACCTGGAATGGGCGTGTCCTCTCCCGCCCCTCCCGGCCTGGGACCGCAGCCTTCATAACCGCGCTGCACGGCCGGCCGGGCGCGTTCGCCGGACTCGGGACTCCAGGGCTGCCCGCCGAGATCTCACCGGGGTGAGTGGGGCGCGGGACAGGCAGAAATCCGGCGGACAGCGCTGGCTAAGGGGACAGCGCGACACACGGCACAAGCCCAGTTCCTCTACTTTAACTCGACGCAGAATTGGTTTTCTGGGCTTCCCAGGCTAGAATACAGGCAGAGCGTAAAAAGATGACCAGGGTCAGAGTTGCTGCTCGGATCCACCCTGCGGAACTCCGAGTGGGCGGATCCTGCTCAGGCAGGAGGAGAGCAGTTCTGGGGTCACTTTGGGGGAAGAAAAGATGTTCGAGGAGGAAGGGCTTGGTCCCCTGGTGGCGGGGACAGGTGGGGGGAGATGGGTGGCAGCCGCTGCTGAACCGAGAAGGAAGTTTCCATTTATTTTGTTCTCCGGCCACAAGCAGCCCTTCTGGATCGTGAGGAACAGACCTGGAATCCACTGCTCCGCTCTGTAAGCGGGGTGGGGAGCGCCAGTGTCCTCCTCTGGGAAGGAAGAGGCGGCCACACCCCCTTCTCGTTGCCCCTGCTCCCGCTTCCCCTTGGGATAGGCCTCGATGCCCAAGACGGCCCTGCAGTGCCCTTGGGAAGGACCAGCAAACAGCCTGGGTCTGTTGCTGCAGGTGAAGGAATTGGAGGCCCTTTCCTGACTTCGTGCCTGGCTCCTCGGCAGGCCAGGGCTCTCCTCAGTGGGTTTGCTCAGGGCCACACCTGTTGGAGGGCTGCAGGTCGTCCCGGAAAGGGGGTTCTTTAGCCACTTCACATGCAGGTCTGCAGCTCTTGGGAGGGTGAGGTGCTGAGGAGGGAAGGAAGCGGGAGGAAGGGTGGAGAGGCCAAGCCCTAGAGCCAGGAGTGGCTCCTTCAAGGGTATAGAGAGAGCAGGGTCCCTGGGGAAGAAAGGAATGAGCAGAAATGGGCGGTGTGGCCTCCTAAGAAGAGCTCTCAACCTGGAGTCCAGGAGCCTGCTTGTTATTGGCCTGCACAGGGACCTGCACCAGTCCTCAGACAAAGGCCTGGGCCTTGGGCTCCTTATAAGGGGAACTGGGGAGACCTCAGGCTCCTTTCCTGTATTAAGATTCTAGCTCCTCTATATCTGCACATGTGCCTTAGGCCTCTTGTTTGTTTGTTTATTTATTTATTTATCTGTTGGTTTGTTGAGACAGGATCTCCCTATGTTGTTCAGGCTGGCTTTGAACTCACTATGTAGGCCAGGGAGGCCTCAAACTTGTAGCGATCTTCCTGCCTCAGCCTCCCCAATGCTGGGATTATAGGCGTGTGCCACCACACCTGGTGTGGGAGTCTCCTTTAGAAGCTGCTTTTAAAATATTCTATTCCTTAGTGGTAATCGACGATTTACAGAGAGTGGAGAAGAATTTTGACTGTGTGATTTTATTCTTCTCATTCTGGGTCCACAGCTATTTAAAAATCTACAGATTGAGCTGAGGAAATGCTGTGGTATTATGGTAAAGGATAAATTGAAGGTATTTTTGTTCGAAGGGGCCTTTGACTTTCAGAGTAGTTGCGTTTGTTTCTACTTTTATTCTTGTTTGTGTGCCACTGAGGTTAGAATGTGTGGTCTGTACGTTTCTTATTTTAGAATTTCAGATTTTCCCTCGTGTTCTAAAGTATGCTCAATTTTGGTCAATATCCCATGACCTCTTACACAGAAGCAGTTGTATAAGGCAGGGGTGGCAAACTATGGTCTATGGAGCAAATGTAGCCCAGATTCTCTTTGTGAATCAGGTTTAATGGGAGTGCATGAATGCTCCTTTGCCTGCTTGTAGCTGGAAAGGTGTGGCTTACAGAGCCTGCTTATTGCCCCTTGGTAGAACATGAGTTTGCCGACCACAGATACAGAGGATCTGAATTACATGATTAGCCATAGAGATTTAAAAAGATACGAAGATAGAGAATATTTCCCGTGGAGTATCCGTAAGACATTTATAAAAATGTACTGTAATATTACTCATTTTGTGTATTTCATCTGCCAAGGACTTATAATGAAGTATTTAAAATCTTTAGAGTATTTCTTTTGGTTTTTCCTTCTATATCCATAGTTTTTTAATATTTTGGTGCTATATTATTTGGTGCATGAAAGTTAATGACAGTTTTATCTTCAACATGGACTATTCCTAACTGTGAAGGAAGCTTTTGGGTTCATATAATACCTTTTTTTGTCTTGTCTACAACTTGGTGTGTCACTAAAATGTCAAATCCTGATTAATTCTTTTATCTTCAGCAAGGTATTTAACTTTGTGCCTGACTCATAATGTCTGTTAGGTAAACAGTAATAAATGTGAGTATTCTTTCTTTTGCATTTATTTTTTTCCTTCATGTGTTTCAGTGTTTCTCAATTCCTTTGTTTTAGATGAGGTTCTTGTGGGTATAATAGTTTAATTTAGTGTTCTCAAAATAAAAGTTACCATTTACATTTATTGCAGTGGTAATTGCTTGCTGTTGTCATCTAATTTTAGGCTACATGATCTGCTTTTCCCCGCTTCTTCCCCATTTGTCTGTGTATATTGTATTTTTAGATCTACCAGGCAACTAAGTAGACAGTAATGCCATTCTCAGGGCTTAAAATACCAGCTTTTAAGGACAGGTGATAAGTTTAAATTTGGACTTGTTGGATCTAATGTAAATGTTTTACCCTTAATTTTTTTTAATGTCCTGTTCCTTGAAGGGACATGGCACATGTACACAACACAACTTCCCCCTTTTTTTATCTCATTTCCCACCTCCTCCCCTCTCTCTCCTCCTTTAGGTTCCTTTATAGTTTGAAATCTGTATTTAAATGAGGGATCTTGAGGAGCTTTCAGATATCTGTAGATGACTTCACTTTATTCTCCTATTTTCTGGACATTTTATGTTTTAGAATTCTGGCCCTAGGAGACTTGGAAGCTTCATTCAAAATCTTAAGTTAAAAAAATGATTTCCAATATTTTAATTTATATTCACATTAATCTAAAGTTTACATGGTCTGTTCAGAATGAGCAGAAGATGGTAATACTCCCAGGAAACTGCGGAAACTGGAATGAACATTGTTGTGATGCTTGTTTTGGCCTGCTTACAGTGCTATGGTAGTTTATTTTCTCTCAGTAACTATGGAAACTCAATTCAGTGATGCTGGTCATGTGCTGCTCATCTGATGTTGTCATGATTCATCAGTTTTATGTCATCAGAACTGGGATGCCTACTTAGAGTAGGGGATCTGAGAGATTTCTCTGTGGATATTTTCCCCATATAACTAACTAATTCTTCATCAAGGGCACAGAAATTTCTGTGGGACTCCTCCCTAAGAAGAGGTTAGCCTGGACAAAAATATGAGGATTAGTGTCAGCATATATTCATCCTCAGAAGTTTTTCCTCCCTATTACTCACACTTGCTAATAAATAACTTGCTTTGGGTAAATATTCAGTGGGTACTCTAGGTCCAAAATATTTGCTCAGCAACCACTGTGCAAAGCATATAGCAAGGAGGATGCCAAAAAATAGACCTTTTCTATTCTCTTATGAAGCTTCTTGTCTGACTGGTGTTGACTCATCATATGTATCATTTACAAAGTGTGTTCAAAAAATATGGTGAATGTTTCAATTAAAAAAATTACAACCAAATTCCTGTCCAGATAGAAAATGCTCTTGGAAGATTTACAAGCTTTTAAGAGTCATGTAGTCTTGGGCAAATGATTTAATTTCTTTGTGCCTCGGTTTCCTCAACTGTAAAAAGGGGGCATTATAGGAGGGTTATTGTGAAGATTAAATGAAAGAGTACAGGGTTCAGAATAAACTTTCAGGAGGACTTAGCTCTTGTCATTTCCAGATGGCTCCACTTGCATGTCCTGCATTTATCTCTGGTCCACCAAAGCTGAACTTCAAATCTCTCCTCACTCATCTCCCATGGGACAATGACGGCACTCAGTTGCCCAAACCAGAAGTCTAGGAATTAACCTGAATTCCTCCATTTCTCAGGCCCTCCCTCTTCTGCCTTCATACAGACCCCCTGCCATTCTCTGTTCATCTGTTTTGCCCCTTCTCCTGGGTTTCCTCTCTAAAGTGCCCCCTGCATGAGGTAGAAGAGGTTTTCCACGTGCACCCAGCATTCCCTGTACTCTGTGACCCCTAAGTTGTATGTCAGTGTGACTGACTCCATGAGTCCCCACAGGGCAGTGGCCACGCTGATATACATGGTGTGTACACTTAGCGTGGTGCCTGACACAAACTACACATTTAAATGCTTCTTGATTGAAAGGAAGAGTAACTAAATGTAGGATTGCTTGTTTTGGAGACTTCTTAGCAAGCATGAGTTTTACTATCTGATGGGGGAAGGGAGAAAAGCTTTAGGGACCAGGGCGGTGATTGGGAGATGGAGTGGAAGACTGGATTATCATTGTCACTATTTATGGAGTGGCTCCCTTCTCATGTGACCCTGGACATATAGCTTCAGATCTCCAGGAGTGAACCTATAAACAGAATGCAGGGATATTAAATTTGATGATATATATAAAAACATGTAAAAACAATACATGTTAAAACATAAACAGCAAAGTGCCCGGCTCAGGATGTGGTAGTAGTTGTCATTATCTTTATTCATCATTATATTGTGACTATTGTTATTACTACTGATTGTATGATGTGTTTGAGAATAGAGAAAAGAATTGAAATGCTAGAAAATCACAGATTTATTTGGCTGAGATGGTGGAAAGGCTCAGCTTCAACAAACACTCAAGTTATTTGATGTCATTCCCCAGGCAGTCTTAAGAGGAAGGTCATCATTTTTAGATGACAGAATGAGGTAAATCTTGTAAAGAGGAAGAGGAAATCAACTGTTAGCAAAGTTTTGGGTCCTAGAGTAATTCACTCAAAGAGCCCCTTGGGCAACCTTCCAGGCCTAAGCATCGGCAGCCTGGGGTGGCTTCCCCACCTCCCTGGTGCGGAAGAGGAATCTCAGATAGGAAACCATTCGGGGAGGCTCATGAAGTCTTGGCATTTGTCTTTGCAGACCAGTCAATGCCACATGTGGTCAAGTCTCCGACTGGGGTCAGAACTGCTTTAGTCACTTCTGGCCTTGTCCTTCAGTAGACTTCTCCTCTGGTGTCCCTCCTGCAATGTGCACTCAGATACTTCAACCTTCCTTCCAGCCATGGTTTGGGGTTTGGCCAGAAGTCTGTGGCACATACTCTTGGTGACCAGAGGTGGGGCAAGAAGGAGACCAAGGGGATGGGACAATGCGATCTGGAGGTATCTATCTTTGCAGAGCTGCCCAGTGGAGGTGGGCATGAGCAGAGGGGACAGAGATTCTGAGAGGTTCAATATTTGGCCCACACACATTGTGGCACCTAAAACACATTCTTTCTAGGGGTTCGGAGTAACAAAGAGCTTGGGGTCAAGCCCAGTCATCCCCTGTCCTCTTCACTCCCTTTTTCCTTTTCTTCCTATTTATTTTCTTTTCTCTCT